AACTAGATCATTAGGCATTTCATGCCCACAAGGTGTATGATGAAATGCCTGAACCAAAGTAATAATGCTTCTTGCTTGCTTAACCAAGGATACTTCATGTTAGGAAGGCTTAGATGGTTAGTAGACTTGTTCTCAATGATTGCTTGATTGATTTAGACCAATGACCATTTGTGTTTAAAGATTGATAGCAAATGAGCTTTTACCTTGACCAAGGACTAGCTTAGAATTGTGTCTAGACCTATAGGATATGAATGATTGCTTGAAACTTCACCCTAGATAGTAACTTGATTACCGAAAGTCAATACACTTATCCATATGCTCTTTTATCTCATTGAAACCAAAGCTTAGTTATTCTTGTTTACATATTGCTTGTTACGAGTTACTTATAAAAAAAACCCTCATTGATTTCATTTTGATTAAGCATGTCTTGCATTCTCTTTGTTCAATAGCTCTCAGGATTGGATTGACACTCTACTTACCTTACTACATTGATTTGCTTTAAGGCTAAAAAACCCATATCATGATACCACACTGAAAGAACTCAAAGCATATTTAAGCTAACCTCCATTATTGTCGAAACCCATAGAAGTTGAAACACTGTTCCTATACGTAGCCACTTTGGAACATGCAGTCAGTAGTGTGTTAATCCGAGAAGAAAGCGGTGACCAGAAACCGGTATATTATACCAGCAGATCTCTGATAGACGCCGAAATTGGCTCTCGCAGTCGTCACAGCTGCAAGAAAGTTGGGGCTGTATTTCCAATCGCACTCGATCACAATAATAATGCCGCCACCGTCGCGAACCATTCTTCATAGCACAAGCCAATCAGAGAGATTGGCTAAGTGCGAAATCGAACTCAGTGAGTACGACATCGATTATAAGCCTTTGACGAGTGTAAAAGCTAAGTTTTGGCCGACTTCGTTATCGAGCTCGCTCCAAAGGAGATAAACTCAAACTTCAACCCGAAAAGATGGAAATTTTACGTTGACAGCGCATCCTCGAAACAAGAGTCAGGAATCAACATACAGCTCAAATCTCAAACCGGAGAAATGATCAAACAATTGTTCTGCTTAGGATTCAATGTCTCCAATAACGAAGCCGAGTACGAATCCCTGATCGCTGGATTATGAATTTCTCGAAGCATCGGAGCCCATGAAATAAATGCCTTCAGCGACTCACAACTAGTCACGAGTCAATTCTATGGGGAATACGAAGCAAAAAAATGAAAGAATGGAAGCGTATCTCAAAGTTTTGCGGGAAATCGTGGAACAGTTTGATAAATTCGAGCTCACGAAAATACCTCCAGGAGAAAACATGTCATCAGATGCCCTCACCGCACTAGCTTAAACGTTGAATCCCGCAAT